AAAGGATAGTAAGGGGCCTTTGGTTCCTGCTTGCATCAAGCCTGGGACTTGCCCCAACACTTCTGAGTTTTTCCTCCTCTGCCCTCAGGGCTGTGTGTTGGGGGGGTGGGAGGATAAAGTGTTTTCTTTGGGAGGAGGGAACACGGAGGACTAGGAGGGTTGAGGCAGCTGGGGTAGGGTAAGGAAAAGGGCGGAGAGGAGCTTGTCAGAGCCCTGGGCACCCAGGGGCAGGGACCAGGGGCCTGCTCAGCATTCACTGGGTGGGGTTTCCTGCGATGCACACTCTGAGCTATTCTTTCCATTTTGGCTCTGGGCATCCGTTCCTGGCAGGGCGGAGGGCAGGCAGCCGGGACCAGTCAGCTGCTCCTTTCTGCCCCTCCCTCCAACACACACACACACACACACACCCTCTGCTGTAACCCCAGTAGCTCAAGCCTCCTTCCTGTAGATTCCAGAGACTTAACCCTTCAGAGGCCTGAGCAGAACCTGAGCTTGGAGCTCAGTGGGGCCACGGTCACCCCACTGACCCAGAGGTAGCTCCAGGGGAAGGGGACACTTCCCTCACTGTATATTTGAAAACCTTGACAGTCAGCAGGTCCTTTGATTGGAGCCCACCCACTTGTGGAACCCTGCCTCCTTCCTGGTGAGGGACTGGTGTGTGTGTGCGTATAAGGGAGAGAGTGAGGGGACAAGCTTAGATCATGTGGCAAGGATCGGGCAACAGACATTGTGAGGAAGAATGTGCCGGTGAGCCCAGATGCGTGCATACCCAACATGCTTACTCCCTCCATAACGTTTGTTCAGATACAACATGAATGCTTTCTGTAGTTTAGGAATATCCGTGAGCTCCTCAATACCTATCAGCAGAACCCCGACAACATGCTTTCTAGTCTGTGGGCATCATCATCACTCAGTCTTTCATCTTCTTCCTTCCCTTTTTCCTGTCTGTTGATTTTCTGCTCTTCTCCGGCAAACACGGCCCATATCCTCCTTTCCCTATAAGTGAGCAGATGTCAGCCCCAAGCCTCCTTTCTAGCTGAGGTCTTAGTGATGTGGAAGTGGCCAGGGCCCTCATGCAGGTGAAGCAGGGGCCAGGGAGCAGTATTGCCCGTGGTGTTACTTGGAGGGGAGTGTGACAGTGTTTAGCAGCTCTCTGGACTGGCCATACCACTAGGAGTCTTTCTCTTTTTTCCTGCACCCATGTCTCCCCTAATCTCTCATCTGGGCCCCAGGACCGGGCCACCCCAGCTGCCTGCACTGTGGTAGACTGCTTAGTACAGTGAGGGGGTTGGGTACCTGAGAGGACCGCATCTCCTTTCAGTTGGGCCATTTATGACAGCTCGGAAGTGGAGGAGGGTCAGTGAAAATGAGGAAGACCCTCAAGGAGATGGACTGACACAGTGGCTCCAACAAAGGGCTCCAACATGACAACAGTTGTGAAGATTGTGCAGGACAGGGCAGTGTTTTCTTGTGTTGTGTTCAGGGGCGCTGTGAGTCAGAACTGACTCATGTGGTGGTGCTGGTAATGTGCCGGGAACTGACTCACAGTTGCAGTCAAATGATGGCACCTCACAACAACAGCTCTGAATTGAAGTCACTGGGTAAAGGCACCTTTGAGGAATGCAAATAATTAAGCACTTAACTAGTAGCCAAAAGGTTGGTTGGTGGCTCAAACCCACCCAGAAATGGTTCAGAAGATGGGTGTGGTGATCTGCTTCTAAAAACCCTTTAGAGCAGTTCCACTTGTCACACACAAGGTCACGGTGGCAACTGGTATGAGCTGTAGGATAAGCCAGATTGGCTTGAACTGCAATGCAGGGTTGGGGGTTCAAACCCACCAGCTGCTCCTGGGAAACCCTACACAAGTGAGTTGGAACTCAGTTGATAGCACTTAAGAGCAACAAGGAACACCAGCAGCTCTGAACCACCCTCCTCCTCCTCCTTCTTGTGGCAGATGGGCAGGGTGGAGAGGGCCCAGGCATCTACATCGGTGTGACTCTTGTCGGCAGCCCTGGGGCGCTCCATGAGAGGGGCTTGGAAGGAATCCCCAGTAGTGCTAAATTAGGATATGCAGGCTTAGAGCAGACTAAGCGTGTGGGTCTTGGCTCCATCACACCCTAGCTAGGTCACCTCGGGCAAGTAACCTAAATCTTCTAAGCCCAGTATCTTCATTTGTAAGTTGGAATAATAACAATAGTATCTCTCATGCCACTGAGAGGATTTAGTGAAACGTAACTAAAAATGGCTAACATTTACTGTTTATCACCAACTGTGTTCTATGTGTATGTTCTCATTTTATGGAACAAGCCTGTACAGGGTACTCTTAATAGCAGTAAACCCATTTTCCAGGTGAAGAAACTGAGGCATATGAGGCAAGGTAGTCAGCGCCAGCTCTGGAAAGACTGGACAGGTGGTTGAGGCCTTCAGAGAACTGGACTGTGTGCTCTGCAGGCATGTCCACTGGGGAATTCTTTTGAAACTGGAAGAGTGAAGGGGGAGGAGTAAAGGAGTGGAGGAGGGCATCTGTGAGTCAGCAGTCTGCTGAGCTGGACCGGAGTCCTGGGCCGCCTACCCACGGCTGACCTTTCTCTCCATGCGTCACCCTTTACTTCACAAAGGCTGTAGCCCCTTTGGCCTGGGGAAGGACCTGTTTGCCCTGCTTGGCTCAGAAAAGGAGGGCTGGGCCAAGGGCTGGCTCCACATAGCCCGCTGCCCTGATGGTTCCTGTGTTAGAGCTGGCAGTGAACTCAGAAGTCACTGGTCCACCCACCTCATTTCAGAGCCACTCCCAGATGCTCATGTCATTGTTGGTGACTTCTCCTCCAACCCCTAGGCCTTTCCTGGCACCTGGGACATGTTAGCAAGCCCCCTATGGACTACCACCCCATTGGTGGGTGTCACACAGGCCTGGGGTGCTGAGATTAAGGCAATCATGACAAATCACCCTACTTCAAAGGTGACTTGCCTGGTCTCCTCCCCCAAAGAGGATGTGAAGGCAAAGGGTGTTTTCTGGGGGAAAAGGGATGGTAGGGTACCCAGAGAGGTACAGTTTTCTCAGGGATTCAGATTGTAACTTGTTATGGTATTTTCCCTCCAAATCTTAAGAGAACCCTGGTGTGGCACTGTAGGCTAAGCACTGGACTGGTAGTGGCAGGGTCAGCAGTTCAAACCCACCATCTGCTCTTAGCAATCCGACACAGGGTCATTATGAGTTGGAACCAACTAGACAGCACATAATAAACATAACCTTACATAAGTACAAACCATTTTCGAAAGCAGTGAGTATCTCTCAGTTTCTTAAATTCACAACACTTGAAATTTTAGTTTTGTTTTTCTTTTTTTGTACCTGGATTTCACAGGGCTGGCTGGCTCAGCTCCTGACTGGCTGGTACACTCGGAGGGGCCCCCATCAACACCCCCTTTTGTTACCTGCTGTCGTTTGCTGCCTCACACCCCTTATTTCTGGCCCAAAACCTGCCCTGGCCCTGGCCCATTTACTCCTGGGAGAGGAGCGCTTTCCTCAGAATCGGCCATCTAGAGCTGTGGCCTGTCATGTGATCCCCCTCCCTGTGGCCTGCCCCTCTCTGACTTATCCTGGTTGCCACAAGAAAGGGGAGAAGACATAAGACCATCATCCCTTTATCTGATCCCTGAACTGCCCAACACTGCAGTGCCCTACAAAGAGAAGCCTGTTCTCTCTTCCTACTAGCAGAGGTTTAGATGGTGTCTGCTGACCTGGATTTGGGGGTTCTACTGTGGGATGCTGAAGGCCTGCATCTTGGGAAGTTCTCTAGGGGGCGGTGGTGGCCCGCCAAGATGCCCAGACGCTGTCAGAGCTCTTCTCTCCCTGGGCTTAGGGACCTTCAGGAGACAAACTCACAGCTCTCGCAGGCCTGGGAGACACAGCATGAAGGACACATACCCAGGATCCTGAAGCCCTCCATTCTGGTTATGCCACTAGCCTGCTAGTTCTGTACCCCAAGGGGCCAGGTCATCTGAAGTGAGCTTTTGGGGCTACACAGTCCCTTCCAGCTCTGTTTCCGGGGTTTGTTCCTGGCACTGCCCAACCTATCCCCGACTCCCCAAACACACACACACACACATCTACCATTCTGGCGCAAGATCTCTTAGCTCTCTCACCTTCCCACCAGCCAGACAGGACTCGGGTCCCAGGCCCTGGGGTTCTCTGGGGTCACAGGGCCATACACTCACTAGCCACTCCCAGGCAAGAGCAGCAAAGAGAGCAGGCATGGATACACACTGCCACACACCTATTTGTCCCTTCACAGCTATTATTTAAAGGAACCAGAAAGTCCTGTTTCAGGCCTGCTCTTTTTCACAGCTCCCATTTGCCAAGCTCTTCCAGGCTTCCCCTGACAGTGGGCCCTCCTCCACTGTCCCCTTTCCCCCTCTGGAGCCTGGCAGCTCTAGTGCCGGGGAACACTTGTTTTCCTGTTCCTCCAGCTCCACTCAGAGCCTTGGCCCTGCTCCAGCTCTGGTGTTCAGGCCTGGTACTCCTGCTAGCTGCTATGGGGGCTGGGCTGACTCCTTCAGTGGACCCCAGCTGACCCTGTGATTCACTGAGAACCTTTCCTGGGGCCATCCGGTTTCTTCCCTGGTTCTGATGTCAAGTCCCTATCACTGGAAGGTTTTCTAAACAGAGAACAGGGGGTGTTCCCAGGCTCTGCCTGGCCCCTCATCTCTCACGTTGATGTTCAGAAAATCCTCTGAGCTCATGAACTAAGTCCCCTCCCGCTACTTCGCTAGACCAGGAGGAGGCACAGTAAGGAGTGGGCCAGGGGCTGAGCTGATGGCGATGAAGGAGATGGCTGGTGGGCAGAGACAGATACGCTACTATCTAGAGCAAGTACAAGGGGCTCTTCCCCACACAGACGGCCTGGGCTGGGTTGGCTGAGCGAGCTGGGCCTGACCACTCACGACTGCTTTTCTTGTCTCTCATTTTAGGTCCAAGCAGCTGGGGTCCTCAGCCTTGAGTGACCATGTCCCATCCCAGTGCCCCCCCTCCATATGAAGACCGCAACCCCCTCTACCCTGGCTCCCCACCCCCTGGAGGTTATGGACAACCGTCTGTCCTCCCGGGTGGCTATCCTGCCTACCCTGCCTACCCACAACCTGGCTACGGTCACCCCGCTGGCTACCCACAACCTATGCCCCCCATCCACCCGATGCCAATGCACTATGGTGAGTCCTGGAGGGGCAGATGGAGGGGCAGGGAGGAGGCAGAACTTGAGTAGATGCGGCTCCGGCATTTTGTCCCTTTTCTTACCAACTTCCTGTTTAATCCCCTTTTCTCTGGTTAGAGCTCTGTTCCCCTATCTTTACTTTCCTACCCTTTTTCTCAGCACTTAGCAAGCAGACTGCCTGATAGTGCTTTTATCCAGGAAAGAGACGGAGTCTGTAAGCCCCACACCAGAACTTGCACGTACAGATGACAGACTGGTTGGGTAATTCTCAGCGTCCTTACCTCAGGGGATCCTTGTTTTCCAACAAGGCAGTTGTTGGAAACTTCTACGGAAAACACCCAGACTTATCATCTTCCTGCACACACACACACTTTGTGCTGGTAATTCTCACTCTTTAAGGTAAAATCGTATTTTGCAAACATCTACAAGTCATGTGGAATTTAGTTTGAGAAACATGGCAGGGAATGGTTGTTGTTGATCAGGAATAAGATACAATTCAAGTATCATGGGACTGCTATCCTGGTAGCTCATACAGATATTTAAGAAGCAGTTCCCAAGGAGGCACTTAAGGAATGTTCTGAGCTCCCTCAGCCTCCCCGGAATTCCAGAATAAGTAAGTATACAGCCAACTCTCTCTGGGTATCCGTGCTCTAGGCAAATAATAGCTCTTCAGTGATGTTTTATTCCCGCGTCATCCTGGACATGTACACACCTGACATATCTGGGTCCAGAAGACCTTAATGGTTGCTCCGCCCTGGGACACCTGATTTCCATCACAGTCTCTGCACTGTTCTCCACTTTACACATGTATGCACGGGTGTGCACATACACACACATATACTGTGTTCTTTGCTTTTCCTCTACCCTTTATCCCCTGTTCTGCCCCAGCCAGTTGCTACCTAGCTCTTGGGTACCTTGCTAATTGGACGGACTCCAGCTAATGCCCTTGGCCTGGCTGGCTGTCCTCTAGATGGGGAATCCCTGGACAATAGGGACTACTCACTTTTGTGGCCCACTAGGCACTCAGGACGCTCCCTAACTGCATGCTGATGGAACGGCTCACAGCTGAGCCCCTTGTTACAGGCCCCATGGCTCCAGTGGGCCATCTAGAAGGGTTCCTGTCTAACAACATTGCTCCTTGCTTGGAGACACTGAGACTTTGTTCCGGGGGAGTGGGTGAATGAGCAGTAGAATTTGGGCCACATGTCCCAGGTCCCATTCGGTCATATATAATCTGCCCCCCAGGCCCAGGTGAGGGCTACGGTGGGGAGGAGAGAGCAGTGAGTGACAACTTCGGAGATTGGGATGACAGGAAAGTCCGACACACCTTCATCCGAAAGGTAAGATGGGGGCTGTGAGGCAGATGTGCCTGGGCCCCTTAGGCTATGGGAAGGGGGGAAAGGGGGACAGTATTAGCCCCAGGCCACATTCCTTTTGCCAGCTGCCTTCTCTGTGCCGCCAGCTATGTGGCTCCCTGCCTTCCCAGTTGTCTCTCGTGTTCCTCCAAAGTGGCCCCAGCCCCTCTAACTCCAGTGTTCCCCTTCCTTGCCTTGCTCTGGAAAGACACTTTCAGTTTGGGGAGTGTCTTGCCTGCCCCAGACATCTCTCCTGTTAGGTGTGAAGCCAGAAAAGATCACTGGTTCCCCACGCCCACCCAGCAGATACACACTGATGTCAGGCTGAGCTGCTTGAAGTGCAGTATGGTGGCCATAGATCAGGGGTCATAAACTGTGACCTGAGGTTGGATACAGGATAGGGAGGGACAATGCCAACAAGCAGCTGGAAGTGGGGCATGTTAGTTTTGAGAACGTGTGGAATAGCCGAGCCCCGCTCCTGACTTGGACTCTGGAGTTGAGGACAAAGTAAGAAATCCTTTAAGAGAAAAAAGCTTCCCTACCACCATTCAAATACAGGGCAGGCATGGGGGTCCAGTGGCAAGGTCTTCGGTGGTCGGGGCTGACTGCTTCCTGGGTGAGGTCAGGGTTGGGAGGTGAGCTGCGTGGCCCATGGGTGGGCCGTCTGTGTTTCAGGTGTACACCATCATCTCCATCCAACTGCTCATCACCGTGGCCATCATTGCGATCTTCACTTTCGTGTGAGTCTCTAGGCCTTTCCCCAACTCTGACTAGCTCTGGGCCCTGAGAGCAAGGCTAGGGGAGACCCCTGCTCTCAGAGATGGACCCCTGGGAAGAGGAGTGGGAGGCAAGCAATTAGAGACCCTAGGAGTCAGGCTGTAGTATGAGCCTCACTTGTCCTCCCCTCTCCATAGGAAACCAGTCGGCGATTTTGTGAAGAAAAATGTGGCTGTCTACTACGCATCCTAGTGAGTGTGCGCTGCTGGCAGCTCAGGTGCAAGAAGAGGGGCAAGGGATTTGTTTCTAGTTGACCTACTCTATTCAAGGGGGTGGTGGTGGTGGATCCAAAATGCTGAGGAGGACCCTCTAAGTTACCTTTGGTTAGTTTGGGTATGTGTGGGCAGTATGTATCCTACAAAACAGTCCCTATGTTTCCTTAAGTCTGCCCGCTCTTGTCTCCCTACACCTATTTCTAGCCAGAACCCTGTGTCATGGAGGTTCTTAGCATCCCTGCCTGGGGGGTGTCTTATCCTCAGTTCCTACTGAATAGCTTCCACATAGCTTTGGGGCCTCCAGCCCACCATCTGCTCCTGTGTTGCCAGGCTAGGCTGGAACGGGCAGATGGCAGAGGGTGGGAGGTTTGGGCCTGCGGCTACCTCTCCACCTCTCTCTCCCCAGTGCTGTCTTCCTGGCCACCTACCTGACTCTTGTTTGCTGCCAGGGACCCAGGTGAGTCCCAGAGGATTAGCCAATGAAAAGAGATGGCAGAGGGTGGGAGCTGGGGACATCTACCTTCTGGTAGATGAACGGAGACTTAGAAGAAATGATCATGATAGCATGTACTGTTCTGGTGTATACATGCACATATTCTATGCATGTGTCTATTTAGCTTCCTGAGAACAATCAGCAAGATAATTAGCATTTTGTCCACTTAACAAATAGGAAGAACTTGGGCTCAAAAATGCTGAGTAACTTTCACACAGATTTTTCTGGCTCTAGACCCCTGGCTGGTCATATTGCCCCATACTGCCCTCCTAGAGACCCTAAGCAGATACCAAAGGCCATGCCAGCCTCCCTTCTCTGGGCCAAGGCTTGATCTTCCAGGGACTTGAGCCAGGAACTGCCCTCTGCTGAAAGCCTCTAATACCCAACCAGCCCCATGGCACCGAATCGCGGATTCTCTTTCCCTTTAGACGCCGCTTCCCATGGAACATCATTCTGCTAACCCTGTTTGTAAGTGAGGGGTTTGGAGGGAGGGGAGGAGATGGCTTGAGGGAGGGTTGGCCCTAGGGAGGGTATGGGGACACCATGGCAGAAGGACGTCCTTGGGTCCCCCCCTCTAGCTTATTTCTTGGCCTCCTCTGTGGCTGCCTCTTTCCTGCTTGGTCATGTCTGTGCCCAGCTCTGATGAACCACTGGTGTCATCTCCTTGGGGCCCACCTTCTAAAGTGTCTCACTCTTGTCTCTATTCTTCCCTTAGACTCTTGCCATGGGCTTCATGACAGGCACTATTTCCAGGTACATTCCGGGACAGCCTCATCCCAATATTCTTGGGGCCTGTGTAATGTGCAGTGGGGGGAATCCCTATACAAGGACTTCCTCTGAGCTCTCTCCCCTCCTCCCCAGTATGTATAACACCAAAGCTGTCATCATCGCAATGATCATCACTGCTGTGGTGGCCATAGCAGTCACCGTCTTCTGCTTCCAGACCAAGGTGAGGATATGGAACCTTCTTACACACACCTGGCCTCCTGAACCAACTGCTGAGCAAACCAACTGCTGAGCAAAGCCAAAAGGATTCCCGAGCCTGGAGGGCCCAGGTCCCTGTACCAGAAATTTCCCTTGAAGCCTCTAATCTCCTTCTCAAAGCTACATCTACAAAATTGCCTCTTGTCTCTGCCCTAGAAGAGTCAGGAGCTAGCACTGGGCCTCCCTGGCAGGTGGGAGCCTGCTGACAGCTGCCTTCTGCTCCCTTCTTGGCAGGTGGACTTCACCTCTTGTGCAGGCCTCTTCTGTGTGCTGGGAATCGTGCTGATGGTGACTGGGATTGTCACTGCCATTGTGCTATCCTTCAAATACGTGAGTGAACCTGGTGCTCAGAGTAGGCTTCCTCACTAGTACGGTGCCCTAGGCCTCTGGGCAGGCTCTCTCCTCCAGGATCTCCTGACTGCTAGCCACAGGGCCAATACCACGGCGCAGCCCTTTTGGGTTCAATAGCCCTGAGAACCCCAGCCTCTGAGACCCCATGTTCCTGGTGAAGTGGTGGATCCGATCTGTTGAACAGCTGAGACCAAGTCCTAAGGGGCTGCCTGAGGCCTTCTGGAGCTCAGTGGACCACTGAGATGGGTTTGAAAGGGGGTGTGTAAGGAACTACCATGCCTGGTCCCTCCTGTAGTCTGTCAGCTGGAGGAGAGCACGAGGCTCCCAGGCTGAAGTGAGTCACATGGAAAAGGGTGTGGAAAGGGGAAGGATATGAACAAGAGGCCCACTTCTGGCAGGCTGGCCCTGCTGCCCTGAGGGTGGGTACTGCCTTGTTCTGACACTCATCAGTGCAGGGGACCCCTTCCCTCACAGCTCTTCCTTAGTCCAGCCCAACCCAGTCTGGGTTGCAGGAACCACTCGAGGGAATGGCCCATGGTTAGGTGAAAGGGAATGGGGCTCTTCAGCTAGTACTTCCTGGGTCTGCCCCTTCCAGAGCTGTAACTCAACCACCTTCTTTCTCCCAGAAGTGCAGAGGGAGCTTCTGTATACCTTGACTCACTCTGGACATTGGATTGGCCAAGAGCAGCTGTGGCTGGCCTTTATTTGGCCTTGGTTCTCTCTTCCAAATATAGTAGTCTCAATTTCTTCCAGGATCTAGAAGGCAGAAGACTAACTTCCTGGATCTACCTACTCTGATTCTAGAATCCCAGGGAAAGCGGGTCGCGAGGGACTGCCTTGGTCCACGTGTATTCAAGTTCTAACCCATTCCTGACCTTCTCTTTCCCAGGTTTACTGGCTCCACATGCTCTATGCTGCTCTGGGGGCCATTGGTTTCACCTTGGTGAGTCAGCCCTACCGCCCTCCAGAAGGGCTGCACAGGTGGGGGAGGGGAAGATCAAGGGAATGAGCAAGGGCTTTGGGGGCCAGGGAGTGAACTGTAGCCGGCCTTTCGTCTCCCCACTGTCAAGAGAGTATTCTGCCTGTTCTCACTGCCTGCTGTCTGTCTCCCTTTCTCATCAAGGGCAGTAAGCACCGGACAAACATGCTGGGGCAAAATGTGCTCTGGGTTCTCACTCTTGACTTTACTCTCCCTGCAGTTCCTGGCTTATGACACACAGCTGGTTCTGGGAAACCGGAAACACACCATCAGTCCAGAGGAGTACATTACCGGTGCTCTGCAGATCTACACGGACATTGTCTACATTTTTACCTTTGTGCTGCAGCTGGTGGGGGACCGCAATTAAGGAGCATCCCTTGTTCCATCCCATCTGGGTCTCCCCTTTCTGGAGGGTTGGGCTCTGTGACTGGGGTCTGGGCCTCAGACACTTATCTACCGCTTAAGTCATATGCCAGTTTCCTTTGTGTCCTGCAGGTGGAGGCCTCTCTGGCTGTGGCTATTTTAAATACCTAGTGGGGTTGGAAGAGTTGGGGACTGACTCTTGCCTTTGGTGGGCTTGCCATGGACTGAGTTGAAGATGTCTTCTCCCCTCTAGCCACTACATGGCACCAATTTTTTTAACAACTGGGGCTAAGGGGGAAGGCATGAAAAAGCCTATTCTGTAGCTAAAAGGGAAAGTGACTTCAAGGTGATGAGGAGTCCTCCCATCACCTCAGGCATCGAGACTCCATAAAGGGTCTCCTCCTCCAGCCCCACAAAGCCAGGAGCTTGGGCCCAAGTGCCTGCACTTACAAGCAATTGTCCTGTGATCGTTTTGCAACCCATGGGGCCTCCAGCTCAGGTAAGCTACATGAGATCTGTGCATCTGGGCCTCCCTGCTTCAGTATGTGTAGATACTGTTTATCTGGATGGGAGTGGGTAGAGGAAAGGGAGCGAACTACTGGGGCTGCCTGCCCTGGGCTCCCTCATACTTGTGATGGTGGTGGAGAACAGGCCCATTTTCAGCCATCTGGTCTCCCTGAGCGCTTGTGAGATCTTTGCTCTGAGGCATCTCTTGTTTCCTGTGCTCAGGCAGAGGTCAGGAGATGGGGGGCCTTAGAGGGTTGTTAAGTGTGGCCAGGAAGCAACGGTGAATAGAGTTGGGTGGGGACAGAGAAAATGCCTTGGGGACTATTCTGCACCCTGTCTGAGCAGTATGTAAGTCTTACCATGGCACCCACAAAGACGCCTGTGTTTCTTTCCTCCTGCTAACCCTGGGATGGCCCTGAGAGGGAGACTTCCTGTTTGCTCTTGACTTTAGACTTAAGCCCTGTTGCCCCAGCAAGCCATCACTTTCTTTGTTTACACCAAGTGCCTCGAGTTGGAAGATGGGCAGGGGGTCACTCTATCTGGTGGGGGTGGAAATCGTATCAGCACAAGGGTATATAATTAGGACTCCACTATTATACTTGGTCCTAAATATGTCCCACAAAGGGACACAACCAGAAATGTAATAAAGTTTCATGTTTAGAAGTGAAAACCCTGTGTGGCTGTGGTTTTCTTCCTATCAAGAGCCCTGGGGTGTTGGTCTGGCTCTGCTCAAAGCACACATTTCCTCAGATAACTGGATATATGTTTCCCCAGCAGTTCCATCCCCAGATGGAAGCCATGGGCTAGCAAAGGCTCATGGGAGAAGGGCCTTCAATTCTGCAATTCCAGATCTGGAAGGGTCTTCTCTGTGGTAATGCTTCAACTCTTCTAGGTCATGAACCCTTTTAAAAAGGCCACACACGCTATTCTTTTCTCTACAAAGCTGCATACAATTTTGCATACTGGCACAAACCCCAGGTTCAGAATCCCTGGCTTAGAAATCACCAGTCTAAGACCTCATACAAAAAGGAAAACAGGCCCAGAGAAGTTGAGTCACTTGGACTCAGTCAAGTGTGCTCTTTCCTCCGCGCCCTAAATGTCTTACTTGATTCATTATTTACTACCAGGCTGAGTAGAGACCCCACCCTTCTGGCTAAGCAGCTCAGCAGGCTAGGTCCCAGGGGCCTGAGCCTAGGCTTGTTGCACTTAAGTCTGTGGTTTCCCCACAATCCAGCCGGGAACACTGAGCGCTTCTGTGAGAGGGAGCACATAAGAGAAACCAGCCCCACCCTTGGCCCTTCCCATCCCCAGAGACTCACAAACCCGGGCCTGCTTCCCTTCCATTCACTCATTCACTCTCAATAACTTTATTTGCCTTTGGCTGGCTTCGGAAGTGGGAGGGGCCGGAGCTGGCAGCAGCCTGGGTTTCATGCGCCCCCTGGTGGGCCTCAGTGGCAGGACCACAGGCAATCAATCCCGAGGAAACCCATGGTCAATAGTCTAAGGGAGGTTTGTGATGTTCCTCAGGCCTGCAACACGGCCCAACTTCAGGAGATGGGGCATGTTAGGAGGAGGACCTGAACCTCTGGCTCTCATACTCGCCCGTGTTGGACGCCCGCATGTTCTGCCGAGCCTTCATCTGCTTCAAACGGTTCTTGTCCACTTCCCGCTTGGTGAGGATGAAGAGGAGGATACCACAGGGGAAGCCGATGGCCCTAGGGGTGGGGAGATGTGCACGGGGGTTTGGAGAGGGGCCGGCCTGAGCCAGAGGAGTTGGGGGAGTCCCAATAGAGCTGCGCCAGTCACATGGATACTGCAATATCTCTGGTCTCTATCTTATGCGCTGATTGCCACAGGGCCTTGCACAAATCATATCTGTGTTGCCCCACTAAAAACCCTGTATCAGCTCCCCGTCACTTGCTGGCCAAGTCTAAATGCCTAGGCATGGTACACAAGGCCCAGCGTGGTTGGGTTTCTGTCCACCTCTTTGGCCCTCTCCCCTAAAGTCTGATACTCCCAGACATGAACCCTGCACTCCTACCATACCACTGTGTGAGATCTTCTGCAAAGTTCATCCTCTTTCCCTCTCCACGTCTTGGCAGAGGTTCCTTTCACCTGGACTGCCCTCTTCACCTGAATAGTTGTTACTTGGGAGGCACTTGGGCGTTGGGGAAAGAGCATGGAATCACAAGATTTGGTGAAAAATCCAGTACTGAGCCTCAGTTCTCTCCTCTGAAATGGGGATGTGATGTTTGCCTCAGAAAAACTAAATTACTATAAATATTGGCACACCTCAGGTGCTGAAAAACGTTCATTTCCCCCTCCTTTCTCTTTAACATGTAAGTATGTATCAGGGTCAGAGTCAGATCTAAACAACACACTTGAATACCCTCAAAGTGCTACTAGATAGCAAATACAATATCACACGATTTCCATTAATTACTTACTAGAACCTGGGTCTCACTCCCAAGCTCTCTATGGGGAGGTGAGCCAGGGACTCATCTTTGAACCATATCAATTTAGTTTATTTCACAGAAAACCCACCATCTCCCTCAATTCCACACACTTTCTCACCTCCTCTGCCCAATTCTTCTGACATTCCAATCCCTGCACCCAGCAACTCTGTCCGGACACCTGGGGTCCTGCTCACCATGTGAAACTTGCAGAAGTTTCTGGGTCCTGCCCTCCCTTGGATTCCACTCCCCAGTGATGGGCAAAGGGGCAGATAAAACTCACCAGGCTAGTCCCACAGCCTTCATGGGATTCTTGCCCCTCTTTCTAGGAATGTATTCCAGTTCAGAAGATAAGGGTTCCGGCTCCTCCTTGCACTCCGGGGAGCTGTGGCTTTGCAGCGCCCGGGTCCGGTTCTGGGAAGCCTTCTCTCCTGAGAGAATCCCTGTGGATGGATGGAGGTTAGGGAGGTCAGACGAGGGGGCTGAAGAGGAGAGATTGCGATCTGAGGAAGGTGAGTCACCGCAGTTTGGAGTAACGAGTGATGGGGAAAATTCAAAGGTGCAGTGGCACCTTTGGAAGCCACTTCCACATCACTGCGGGCTCCTCACCCTGGTGGCAGGAGAGCGAGCTTAGAGCTTCGCTGGTCTTCATCTCCTCAGACGACAGGATGGGAAGCACTGCAGTGGGACGGGCAGGAGGCGTATGAAGGCAAACCGGGGAAAGATTTTTAAACCACAGAATGCTAGAACTGGAAGGGCGCATAGGGACAGGCTATTCCATCCCCTCATTTTCTAGAAGAGGAAGCTGAAGTCCTGAGAGAGGAACTCCCTCGCCCAAGGTCAAACCGCTAATTATCCGGGACTAGAACCCGAGGCTTCAACAGCCCACGGCTCTCTCCACTGCACTGCGGTGAGTGTGTTAACACCTGGAGCGCGGGACTCTAAAAGACTTCTTCGGTGCTCCCTCTCTCAGCAAGACCCCGGAGAGGTCACGTAACCCGAAAGTAGGGGGACTGACCGGATGACCTCTACAGAGCATCTTTCAGCCCCCAGACTCTTTAGATCCTGCAGAGGGGCGTGCGCATGAATGGACAGCCCTGACTTCTTGCGATCTCCGGGCGGGATGTGAAAGAAAAGTAATCTCCTGTAGCCCTGCCCTCCCCGGGGTCCCTCTCCTTACCCCGGAGGACGCGGGCATTTCTCGCCCCCCGGCCCTTCAGCGCCGTAGCAGCTACCACCGCAGCCATGTTCAGATCCCACCCCCCTTCACCGCGCTTCCCGCCGGGAATTGTAGTTTGCGTAAGGGGCCTCCCCCACGCCTTCCGTCCTGCCTACAGGTTAGGTACTACATCTCCCAGAAGCCCGCGGAGCGGACCCGGGAGAACTACTCTTCCCAGGAGACCGCGGCGGCGCGCACGCTCGTTTGTTTCACTCTGGTTAGGGGTGGAGTCTGAATGGGAGGAGTTTAGGTGATCCTCGCCACGCCCCGTACTTCTCCTAACTCTGTCCCGTGATTGGCGGTTCAAACAGTCAGTCCCTCTCGGTATTGGCCGAATGGCCGCCGCTCTTCCTGTCGGGGAGTTGCCTACGCCTACTTCCTCCTGGGAGGAGGGGCTCGAGTTCCGTGTCGTCGCGCAAAGCTGACTCTGGGAGGCGTTTGGGCCCAGAGAAGTGGATCGGCTGCTTGCGCTGCATGGAGTCCGAATCGGAAACCGGGGCCGCTGCTGACACCCCCCCACTGGAGACCCTAAACTTCCATGGCGATGAAGAGATTATCGAGGTGGTAGAACTGGATCCCGGTCCGCCGGACCCGGGTGAGAACTGCCGCTCTTCAGGCCGTGGCTGGAGGTGCTCACCCCTGGCCTCTGACCCCTGCTTCCCCCCTCCCCCACACCCCACCGGTCATTCGGATCAACACCCCTCTCCGCCCCCCCTCCCACACACACTTAGTTCTCGGGCCTAGTCTGGGTAGGGGTTCTCCTGACGCCGTCCCTATCCCTTCCCCTCACACACCCCCTTCCCATCATTCCCTCGGTCCTCTCTTCCTACAGTTTCTGGCCAAACCCTCGTTGGCTGACCTCACTTCAAATCCTCCCATCAACACGCCCCCGCCACCCTGCCGGTTGGTGAGCGTGCTACACCCCCTCTTGCACAGGACCCACCCCTACCCTCAGATCTCCCCATCCTTCTCACCACCTTCCAGACCTCATTTTTCAACTTTCCCCAAAGCAGATGATCTGGCCCAAGAGATGGAAGATGTAGACTTTGAGGAAGAGGAAGAAGAAGAGGGCAACGAGGAGGGCTGGGTTCTGGAACCCCAGGAAGGGGTGGTTGGCAGCATGGAGGGTCCAGATGATAGCGAGGTCACCTTTGCGTTGCATTCAGGTAGGCTTCAGAAAATCTGTAGGGTTGGATGTTGGGACCTCAGAACTACCCCCACTCATACTTCAACCTGCACAACACGGGCAGTTGAGGCCTGTTTGAACCCAGCCCAGTTGGGCATTTAGTCGTCAAAGACTTGTTATGTACCTAGTATTTGAGGGGATGCAGATATGAGAGAAGATGCTGGCCCCGTCTTGGAGCAGCTCCCAGGTCAGGGCAGTATGGTGGAACCAAAGAGAGTTTGCTCTAGATTCTTGCAGCCTGAGTTCAAATCCTATGCCTGCTATTAGCTTCATTTTATTAACCTATGTCTTGTTGTTGTTGTGCCATCCAGTCAGTTCTGACCCATAGACTGTCTAGGGTTTTCTAGGAGTGGCTGGTGAGCTTGAATCACCTACTTTGTGGTTCAAACCAACTTTGCAGCCCAGTGTATTAACCCACAGCGCTGCAGCAGGGCTCCCACTGTGACTTAGTGTTCTTTTAAAATGTTATCTTTGGTTTTAACAAAAGTTACCTCATTGTACATGGGGGGGGGACGTGTACATTAAGTTGATTCCAGTCCATAACAGGTCTGTAGTACTGAATAGAATGTAAGGTTTTCTAGGTTAAAATCCAGATTTTTCTCTCCCAGAGTGGTTGGTGGGTTCGCAGCTGAGTGTTTAACTATTCATCCACCAGGGTTACTTCATTAGAGTTTACAGTATCTTTGAAAACACATTGAATATTCATATGACATACTAGCTCTTCAATAAAAAAAAATTATTCTAGGATGATCTCCTTACTCTTTTTGTACCCACCTGGTGACCTGTACACAAATCCACCTCTTGTCTGTGGCATCAGTATGGGGCCTAAAGGGGAAGACAGGAGGTAGCCGGGGGTGGGGGTGGGCAATCTGCCCTGGAGAAGGTTTTCCCAACAGCCTGTCCATTGGAACGCAGAAAAACTCGCATGTATCTTTTCTTGCCAGGAAGAAAGATAAATGTTACTTGAGTGACTTATGGGGGTGGGCCGAAGTCCTGAAGAACAGAGGCTTGGGGCGGTTGGTTTGTCCTGTTACTCATGGAATGTTTCTTGGGACAGCATCTGTGTTTTGTGTGAGCCTGGACCCCAAGACCAACACCTTAGCAGTGACGGGGGGTGAAGATGACAAGGCCTTCGTGTGGCGGCTCAGTGATGGAGAGCTGCTCTTTGAGTGTGCAGGTGAGTGTCCTAGGGTAGGCACCCAGGGAAGGTTGTGTCCCTTTTGGAGGGGCCTTAGGGGCTAACCTGCAATGGTTGTACATTCAATAGCCATTTATTGACACTTGGTTATGCCCGCTCTCTGCTGGGCCATAGGGGAACAGGGGGAGGGAAACAACAAACCAAGGACGCCTAGGAGGAGAATCCTGAGGGGAGGCGACATGCCTGAAGTCATCATTGGGCAGACGGAAGGATGTGGCTATCTCAGGCTGCGGTGTAGAGAACGTAGACTCAAGAGGCCTGGGCTGCCTTGGCTTGAGTGAGGGCCAGCTATGTCTTTCCTGAGAAGACGTGAGGGTGTTTGCTTCTGAAGTGACAACTGGTTTGATCACCTGTTCTGCCGTGTTCTACTCCTGTTTGTTTCCCAGTTGGTTCTTTCAGGGGGCCAGATACCTGGATGTGTGCCCCAGTGCTGGGTACCCTAGTGTTCTCGTCTCTTCCCACCCACTTTCCCTTGCAGGCCATAAAGATTCTGTGACTTGTGCTGGTTTCAGCCATGACTCCACCCTAGTGGCCACAGGAGACATGAGTGGCCTCTTGAAAGTGTGGCAAGTGGACACCAAGGAGGAGGTCTGGTCATTTGAAGCAGGAGACTTAGAGGTGAGGCTGTCAGAGTGGGATTTCACTCAGCAGATCTTGGGTAGGGGGTGAGAAGTTGGGGGTCCATCCCACCCAATTGGATCCAGCTCACATTGAGCTAATTTCCCTAGGGGCAGCAGGAATGTCCACACCTGTTACCTGGAGAGTTCCTGCTGACTCTGGGAGGGCTTGGGGTGGGCTCCTGAGGCAGTCTGCCAGGTGAGATGGGCTGACAGACCTCCTTTCTCTGCACCCAGTGGATGGAATGGCACCCACGCGCACCTGTTCTGTTGGCGGGCACAGCTGACGGTAACAGTTGGATGTGGAAGGTCCCAAATGGAGACTGCAAGACCTTCCAGGGCCCCAACTGTCCATCCACCTGTGGCCGAGTCCTTCCAGATGGTGAGGGCTGCTCCCTTGAGAGTCCTTGGTTTAAATACAGAGGTTAAGTCCAGGGTTCTGCACCTTCCTAACCTCCCTCCTGGACCACATCTGACAAACCCCGAGGCCTGATCTCAGGAGCATGGGCCTCATGGCCCAAAGCCCACAGCTCTTCCTTTCCTCCCCTGAACTGTAGACTGGGTCTCCTTTCTGTGCCCTCGTGCTGCCATACTGGGGTATCTGAGTATACGCCATTCTTACCTGGAGGGTGTCTCCTTCTGTCTTCCTCTGCCTCGGGGTTTCTCTAGGGAAGAGAGCGGTGGTCGGCTATGAAGATGGAACCATCAGGATCTGGGATCTGAAGCAGGGAAACCCTATTCATGTTTTAAAAGGTAGCAGAGGTCTGCGGGATGCTAACCTGGGCCTGGGGTGTTGGGTAGGGGAGGTGGCCAAGAACCTGGGCAGGAGTCATCAGGGGAGATAGGGTGAAGCCTGACCTGTCCCTCTGCTCCATCCTAGGGACCGAGGGTCACCAGGGCCCTCTGACCTGTGTGGCTACCAACCAGGATGGCAGCCTGATCCTAACTGGCTCTGTGGACTGTCAGGCCAAGCTGGTCAGTGCCACCAGCGGCAAGGTGAGTGGGCCCTGGGCTGTCTGCATGCCCGTCTTCTCTGGGCCGTTCCTCTTTGGCCTCCTCTCCCTGCTGGCTCTCTGAGAGAGCACCAGAGTCCGGTCTTCTCTTACCCATAGGTGGTGGGCGTTTTCAGACCTGAGACTGTGGCTTCCCAGCCTAGCCTAGGAGAGGGAGAAGAGAGTGAATCCAACTCGGTGGAGTCTTTGGGTTTCTGCAGTGTGTGAGTGGGAACCAGGGCCTGGGTCTGCAGGCAGTGGGCACTGGGGTGGCTGAGGACCAGAGACCTGGGCCAGAATTGTAGTTTCAGGCATTCATGTTGGTGGAAAGGGGCTGAGGGACTAGAAAAGAGCAAAGAACAGGTGAGACTAGGATCCCTTCATGGTGCCCTGTTCTGCCCAGAATGCCTCTGGCTGCCATTGGCTACCTGGACGGGACCTTGGCCATCTACGACTTGTCTACGCAGACCCTCAGGCATCAGTGTCAGCATCAGGTACAGACAGCGTGGAGCTGGATTCCCCATGGGCAGCATCTGCCTAGACCTTGCTCTGCCGTGGTTCTTCTTCATGGCAGCCCCTCTCCTCTTTCCCTCTCTCGCCTCTGACCCTCCCCTGCCTGTGGTTCTCTGCAGTCGGGAATCGTGCAGCTGCTGTGGGAGGCGGGCACAGCCGTGGTTTATACCTGTAGTCTGGATGGCATCGTGCGCCTCTGGGACGCTCGCACTGGTCGCCTGCTCACCGACTACAGGGGCCACACAGCCGAGATCCTGGACTTTGCTCTCAGCAAGTAAGGGAATTCGGCAAAGGTTGGGACCTGTGTGTGCTTTTGGGAAGTGGGAGTAGTGTGAGAGAGGGGGGTCCTCAAGTGTGGACAGAACACCTAAGAGAAATTGGGCCCTACAATCTGGCCCTGGCCTTGGTGGCAGGAATGACGGGGGGTCTGATCCACTCCCCCGCCCCCCATGGGATACACCTCAGTCTCAGGACTGAGTCTGACTTCGCTGCCCAGCTCGGCTCTGTGTTCCTCCTGTGCTGGGCAATCCTCATACCTCGCTGGGTGCCAGTTTTGGGTATACTCATTCGGTGTGGATGTGTTGGTATGGTGCAGCGCCGGGCACTAGGAATCTAAAAGTGAAGCAGCTCTTGAAGAGCTAAGGTCATCCTACATCTCTGGGTAGCTGGCTTGGGCTGAACCTCAGACACCCTGGTTCCCCCAACCCTCTCCTTTCTGTCCACAGAGACGCCTCCCTGGTGGTGACAACGTCAGGAGACCATAAAGCGAAAGTGTTTTGTGTCCAGAGACCTGACCGCTAAAGGCTGCTGCCTCTGGCTTAGTGGCTGTTGTGGAGAGGGATTATGGGTGTCCCCCCACACACACCAGCAGAGGAGGCGTAGGGTGCCGAGAGAAGACCAGAGGAGGGGGCCTTGGACTACTTTCAACCCCTTCAAACTGACTTGCCCCCTCCCTGTCCCTTTCTTCTCTTTAGAGATCCCCCTCCCCCAGCTCCTGCCCACACCTGGGGGGTTCTTCAGAGGGAGGCTCTTTCACCTTCATTTGCTGGTGTGAGCCTTGGGGGTGTGCATTTGTATGTGGGGAGTAGGTCTTTGAGATTCCCATCCTTTCCCTGCCCAAGTCTCTGGGTGTGGAAAGGAGGAAGAGATGCTAGTTACAGATTTTAAAAAATGTAAATAAAATATACTTCCCAGAGACATGTCCTTGTGGATTTTGTGGCATCTGGGCATGTCAGGTGAGGGTCACCAAAAGATATTTGGGGTTTCAAGGCACTTTCATTCTCTCAAGTGGCCGTCTGCTCTCCCCAGCAGTTGCAGGCCTATCTGGAGTTGATACATACGGCTTGTTCTTTAGGTTCTTTGCAAAGATGCCGGCTTTTCCCTTTTTGAATGTAAGGAGAGAACCATAAACTAGGGCAGTGAGCTTTATTCAGCCAGGGTGGAGCCAAATACGGGGTAGGGCCTCAGATCCAGGAGTAAGGGACCTGGGAGAGGCAGGTTTGGTGGCCAAGATCGATGGATGTTTCTAGTAGCAGTCAGCAGAGGCCCTTTGCCAAACTTCCCCTAGTTCATGTCCAGGTCGACGCTGCTTTGGCTGCTGGGGTGGTAGGCAGTGCTGGGGTGGGCACAGCCCCTGGAGGCTCGGCCCTGTAGCTCCCGGAGCCACTTTTGGGCAGCTGCCCTCCAGGGAGCCGTGTATCGCTGATCCCCCAGCCCCATGGCCACAGGCACTACTGCAGCACTGGCGCTGCCCAGCGAGATGAGGGACAGGAGAGTTCCGGGCCCCAGTGGGGGGCGCTGCTCATAGGCCAGGACTGAGAGCAACAGGGTGGCCACGTAGGGCCCCCAGCACAGCCCAAAGAGCAGTGTGGCTCCTACCTGGGCCTTTGCCTGCCTCCAGGTGAGGGCCCGGGCCAGGGCTGAGGGTGCACAGCGGCACACAGCCCGTTCCAGCCGGCAGATGTCCCGCACCTGGCGGTGGGCTGTGGCCAAGACTCTGGCGGAGAGCAGGGCAGCGACACCCACGGCGGGGAGCAGGATCCCGTAGACTTCAAGGTAGAGGTAGGGAGCTGGGAAGATGGCCTGGGAGCTGCAGTTAGCCCCAGGGACCCAGTGGTTCCACCCCAAAGCTGGCAAGCTGGCAAAGAGCAGCGGCGCAGCCCAGGTGAGGAGCAGAGGCAGCCGGGTGTTCCTGTGGGGTCGCAGGGGCTGCAGCACAGCCAGGTACCGCTCCCCGTGCACCAGCAGGAGGTTTGCCAGCAGGGAGAGGAAGGAGAAGTTGGGGGCCAGGTAGAGGAGAAGGCAGGGCCAGTACCCCCGGCCACTCTGGCTCCATAACCCTGGCAGCGTGGGCAGTGTCAGCCCTGTAAGCAGCCCAGCCAGCAGCAGGCTCAGGAAGAAACAGCCGGCAGGTGGGCTGCGAAGGCGTCGGTCCCAGGCGATGCCCAAGGCCAGGAGCAGGTTGGCAGCGACAATGAGGCCTGCCAGGGCCAGGGAGAGCCCCAGGGTCCCCACGGGAATGGGGCTGGATACATTCTCTGTGCTGTTAGGTGTCATCTTGGGCCTCGGGAAATGAGAGGCTTGGAGCAGTGTTGGATATGCCTAGATGGAGGATGGGTGAGCCAGAGTTAGGAGGTCCCACAGTTGCTGCCCCCCAACGGGCAGTGGACTATATATATATCTATATATCCTGCTTGCTGATAATATGATTTTTCAGTGGATTACCAATTAAAACTTCATATAAAATAACATTATTTTTGTTTCACTTGAAAAATCTGTTTAGATGGAAAGGTGGCCCTCCCAGCCCCAAAGGACTTAGTCCATCCCTGCCTCTGCCTGGCCAGACCTCTAACTTAGCCAAAATAACTCAGCCAGGAGCTGGTATGAGCCTCTTCAGCAGCCAACATTCGAGAGCCTCCTTAGCGCAGGTTCTGAGGTGAATGAGGGGATCGTTGTCTAACGCTTACCCTCTGGGTGTGAAGAAGTTAGGGCTTGGGATATTACTAAGGAGCAAGGCCAGGTGCCAGGGCTAGGGGTATCAGCAAGTGGGGTGCACTTGCTGCCCTTCCCTTCCCCCCATAGCCAGATCCAGCTCAGTGAGCAACCTTCAGGTAGGACTTCCAGTCCATAAATTTGAACTTGACTCCTCTGCTCCACACTAGCAACAAGGCCCTTCCTGGGAGTGGGGTAGGGTGGCAGTGATAAGGAGATGCCAGCTTCAGGGAAAGGGTGTCCTCTCCTCCCCCCACCCCTGCCCTGCCCCCAATGGGCTGATGCTGAGCCAGAGGGAGGAGTGGGGGCAGGGCGCGCCTCTCTGCGGCTCTGGTCTGTCCCTGTCCTCCCTTCTCTCACTGTTCTCAGCCCCCCAGCACTGTGGGCCTCTGGCCGCCACATCATGAGGACCAGGGGGGAGGCTCGTGGCCGCTGTGGGTGTTACTGCTTCTGTCAACAGGGGAGCAGCCGGTGTTGCTAGGAATAAAGTCAACAAGGCAAGGATCCTACCTGGCTTCCGCACCCTCCTCTAGGACAGGTACAGGGGCCCCCAGCCCCAGGCCTCTAAGCCCTTGTGCTTCTTTCCCCTTTCCTTTTCCTTAGTTTCCCCAAGTGTCCTCCACTGGAGAGGTGCCATCTCTCTGTGGCCCCCCTAGTTTCTGTCTCTTCCCTGCCTGTACCATCAATTCTGCTAAACCTCCAGGAGACCTCAGGGCCTAGCCAGGGGTCTGGCTCCAAAACTGGCCGAGGGTCATACACTGGAATTCCCAGTCCTACCCTCGAGTGGTCCTCTCACCTCACCACCATCACAGCCTCCAGAAAGGCGGGGATCGGCCTAGGATCTGGGACTGTGGTGTGGAGGTGTGGCCCAGGAGGGGGGCTACTCACATGACTACAGGGGCAGATGCAGCTTGCCCAGCCTGGGTTCTCCTGACGATCAGTAGTGGCTGCTACCACCCCTACAAGCTTCAGGTAGTGTCCAGCGTCCCGTCCCAGCCGGCGGCAAGTGTGGAGAACACGCAGCTCTGGATCCCTGGAATGGGCTTCCTGGGCTCTGCCCCAGCTGGACTCCCAGAAGGATGCCTTCGGGGCTTGGCCCAGCCACGCCTCTGGGGGTGGGACCTGGTACATTCTGGGCTGTAGCAGCAGAAGACATCCCCCAACCCAGCTACCAGCCAGCCCTTGCCACGCAGGACACCCTACCTCAGGACAACCCAACTAGGTGTTCTGTTGCCTGTTACTGCCCAGCTAATCTGAGAAATACATTGGAATTAATGAATAATAATGATTTGGTCTGCCCCTCCCACTTCCCACCCCTGTGGATATATTTACATTTTATGAGCCTTAACTCCGGGGAGTAAGGAGCTCTGGTAGCATAGTGGTTAAGAATCAATTGGGCTGCTAATCTCTGCAGGAGAAAGATGAGGCTTTCTGCTCCCGTAGTAAAGATTTACAGCCTCATAAACCCTGTACAGGGTCACTATGAGTCAGAACTGACTACAAACACATAACAACAACTCCTGGGAGTAAGCAGCCAGCGGATAGCCCCTCCAGCTCCGTAATTCTGCTAAAGGGTAGTGTGCGGTTTACGTGGCGGTGGTTAGGGAGCTCCTCTGTCCTGTCAAGGGGCCGTGTTGTTGTTGCGAAGTGCTGGTGAGTCCGTTCTGACTCAGAGCAACCCTGTATATGGTTTCCGAGGAGCGGCTGGTGGGTTTAAACTACTAAATCTTGTGGTTCAGATCGACTTTGCGGTCTAGTGCATTATTCCCAGCACCATTAAGGGGCCCTGGTGGCTGCTAAAAATAGGGTTTGAACCCACCCAGCAGGAGGAAGGCCGGGTGATCTGCTCCCGTAAAGATTACACCCTAGAGAACCCTATGTAAAGATTACAGACTAGAAAACCATGGGGCAGATCTACTCTGTCGATACAAGGTTATGAAACCCACTCCAGGCCACCTAACAACCACCTCTAGCCTCTCACCTGATGAATTGTATAGCATCTCCAACTTCTGATGCATTTGAATTATAATGAACAACACATATGACTGTTCTCAGCTGTTTTTTGGTGCATTTTATCGGAGAGCATAGTGGCTCTGTATGATAAACACTGGACTGCAAACTACAAGGCTGGTGGTTTCTTCATCTTTAAAATGGGGCTCTAAGTTGGTGATTCAAATCTACCCAGAGTTACCTCAGAAGAAAGGCCTGGTGATCTGCTTCTGAAAAGTCATAGCTCTTGAAAACCCTTTTTTTTTTTTTTTTTAATGTTTTATTGTGAATTATGTGATAGTTTACATGGGAGAACATTAGTTTTACATTCATTCTATTGTCTACCGTCTCATTGCCATGGTTACAGTCCCCTCCATGCAATCCTTCTCCCATACGTGCTCTCTCTCTGGATCTAAAGTCTCCAGCTGCTCCATCGCTCCACGTC